CTTACTTGCCTGCTCGACAGTAAGGAGGCCAGTGGTGACCACCTCGGTGGCCTGGGAGGGCTGGTCCTGGCCGTCTGTCACTGCTGGGACAAGCGTGGGGACACACGGGAGGTGGGGGGGGTTCCAGAGCCAGCACCTGGTGCCCCTGCCCTGGTCGGTGCCAGCAGTCCCTAGCACTGCAGTAGCCCGAGGGACGTCCTGCCGGGCCCACCATCCCCCCCTGAGCCTCACCGGTGTGCGGCAGGACCCCAGGGTGACCGTGCTGGGGTCATGGGAGGACACAAAAGGCACAGTGTCCCCTCCCCGCGAGCCCCCAGCCCCAGCTACGGTGCAAGGGTGAGCTGGGTGGCTGTTGACCTCCTACCTGTGGCCGTGGCAGTGAGCGGCTCTTCGTAATCCAGGGCCACCGAGGGGGTGAAGGATGTGACGGTGGATGTGTCCGGCCCTGCGGTGACACAGAGGGACAGAAGTGACACACAGGGAGAAGCGGCAAAGCTGTGAACTTACTGACTCAGGGAGGTAGACCCAGGGTGGCCTGAGTGCTCCAGGACGATGAGGATGGAGATGAGCAAGTCCATCCACACATCCCTGCTGCCCACGTCCTGGAGATGGTGCTTCTCTGCCCCAACCCAAGCGCCGAAGGGTCCCGTCCCTCTCTGCATACCCGGGAGGTTTAGCAAGCAGGGTTCGTTAGCTCTAAAGCTTCGTTTTTCCCCTGCCCCACGGAGCAAGGGCTGTGCGTGGCGGTGCCATCAGCTCCGTGCCCAGGCAAGGTGCCAGAGGGGACGGGGACATTTTGGGAGGAAAGGACCAGCCTGAGAAAATTGTCCCTTTTCTCCCACATCAGCCCCTTTGTTCGTTAATAGTGGGAAAGGGAAAGCGCTGGCACTTACTGCTCCCATCATTAGCCATGATAATGAGGGAATTCAGGGGGATTATTAACATTATAAATGGTAATCAGCGGAGAATGGCAGAAATACATCATTTAGGGAGGGGAAGGGGAGGCAGGCGGGGCTTGGCATCGTGCCTAGCCCCTGGCAGCCGCTTGCTCCTTCCAGACACGGGCAGCTTGATTTCCAGCCGGCAGAGCAGGGAAATGGCACTTCGGCAGATGCATTTCTCTTGCAAATTGCTGCTCGGGCCGTGTCCCGGGCTCTCGGCGTGGTGCCGCAGCCTGCTCCGGAGCACCAGGATGACAGCAGATAAGGAGAAAGGATGCTCCTGCAGCGCAGAGCCTGGGTCCCTGCCTGACCTTGGGCACATCAGCATCTCTGTGAGGCCGTTTCTCCTGGAAGACTAGGATGTCCTTGGATTTTTCTCCCCCAAGGGACAGCCCTGAAGGTGATGCTCTGCCCCGGTACCTGTGCAGATGACCCCAGCATCCTCGTGGTGGCCGCAGTTATGGATGCCCCAGCCGCGGCTGTGGCAGGGGGGGGGGGGGGCCGCCATGTATGAGTGCCCCAGCCGAGGCTGGAGCAGGCGGAGAGGAAGGGCTCGCTGCCGTCGCAGTTGACGTTGTCCAGGAGGATGCGCCCCGTGCCGTAACCAAAATAGGCATTGCTCTTGTAATCCAGGGCTTGGCCGCAGCCCACCTGCTTGCACACCACGCTGGCATCGCTAAGGTCCCAGTCGTCGTCACAGACGGTGCCCCAGTTCCCGTGATAGAAGATTTCCACCCGGCCTTTGCAGGTGTCGGTCCCGCTCACCAGACGGATGCTGCCGTCACCTGGAGGGTGGCATCAGGTGGTGAGAAGGACATTGCTTTCCCCGGGAGGTCACCACACATGCCATGGCACAGCGATGCCACCGAGCCTGGATCTGGCAGTGCCCATGCTGGCAAAGAAATGGGGTGAGAAACAGCAGGGAAGGGGTGATGCTTTAGGGTAGCACGGCTGATGGGTGAACCTCTGGGATAGGGTTGGGCCATGGCTGGCACCATGATGGGGTCCCTGGGGGTCTGCCCCTCGGAGCTGAAGAGTTGGGGTGCTTCACAGAGAGGCAGTGGGTGACAGGTGGGCGACGCTGCTCTCTACCAGCCCTCAGCCAGGACAGACCCCCTGCAAATGACAGCCGAGCAGCTTACTTTCCCCATCCTGTACCGGGGCTGTGAGGGTCCTGCTCGTCGGTCCTTCGCTGGCTTGCGTGGGCGAGAACTCTGAAAAGAAAAGCAGAGAGGTGGCATCCGTCACCGCCCGCAGCGATCCCTCCAGAAGCCGGCTGCGAGCCGTGCCCCGCACCCCTGCCCTCCCTGCTGCTCTCCCGGCTCCGGCACTGGCGTGCACGTACAGGTTGGCAAGCAGGCATCACGGAAAGCAGGAGGGTTTGCACCAAACCAGCCCCACCAGGG